CCGCCCCCCCGCAAACCCTCTTACTCACATCATATTCAAATTGCTACATTCATTGAAAAAGCAGTAGGCACCGTTCAAATGGAGGTGATGTTATACTTCTCACACTTCCAATTTACAAAAAGACAATAGCGTACATTCTTTCTTCTGTTCACCATTGAGCCTTCAAAGTAGGCAAGAAAACTATCATTATTATCAGCACCATATTATCTCTAATAAATTGGCATCTATTTCCACATCTACATCATTTCCACAGCTATATTTCTCTCTTTTCTGTATCTCTATGTCCATATTTCCATACTTCTTTTTCCAGTATCTATACCTAAATCTATACTTATATCTATATACCTCTATCTTTGTCTTTATTCTTTTCAAATCCATATCCATGGCTATATGAGGACACCAAGTCTTCAGTGAGATTCAGCAACTAGACAAAGATCACCCAGCTGGGACCTGAGAGCCGATGTAAGGCTTTTGGCTTTAAATACTGCTCTTTGCCACTTATCCTATGCCATCTCTCAAATAAATGGGATTTAAAAAAAAAAAAAAAAAAAAAGAAAGAAAAAAAGGAAGGAAGGAAGCAAACAAGCAAGCATTATAATTACTTTACTTTCTATTCACAAAGCCCAGCATATGGCCAGACCTCTATCTCCTCCATTTCCATTAACTTAAAGTTTTTGGTGTGGGGTAGACACAGGAATGGGCTTCAAAATGACCAGTTACTGTACAGTTACATGTCAGATTCTTCATCATATATATCTTCTTGCTTAAAATTCTTAGAAAAGTTTCAAAATGCCAGATTTTTTAAAATTAGGAAATACAATAGGATTTTTTTTTTGAGGAGGCGGAATTAGGTAATTTATATTGTTAACAACCATTTATATGAAGATATTCTGGAAATTTACTGTATTAATGCAGATCTAAACTGGTATTTTAGAAGACACTCCCCCTTTAATTTCTTTCCTCTTTCTTTTCTCTATTTTTTCTTCACTCAGAGCTTTTGTAATAGAACATGGTGAAACAGTCTAACTGGACTGCCAGGATGATTAAAATTTATATCACTTTTGCATCTGTTTTGAGAGGTGGAGCCTTAATTTTAAAACAAATTATCAAATATTTCAAGAAAGTAGATTGAAGATTACTCTTTATTCTCTAAAAATTTCAAGAGTTGAATTGCTGTGAATAATTGGCAGGATTTTTTGGTAATGAATTTATCTGATTTAAACCGAAGGTTTCCTTCTTCTGTTCATAAAAGCTTACATATCTGCTCTGTTTTACAATAATCATTTTTACGGTCAATTTTCCAGCCCTTCCAAATCCTCTTTTTTTCCCAAACGTGAAATCTACAGAAGGAAAAAAGCACACATATTTCATTTTTAAAACTGAGTAGTAATGTTCTAAAGAATATATTTTAAGGGTACCTTCTAGGCTAGAGGTTTGCAAAACATCATCTGTTTCTCCTTGTGCGAGGTTTTGTTTACGTCCTTCTTTTAAATCTATTTTTGGTCTCCCGAATTTAGTACAGGTTGCTTAAAAAATCAAAAGCAATTATAAAATTTACCTAGAATCTGCTTTCAAACTCGAGTTAAGCCATATTATAATTTTGTTTTCTGTTGTTGCTTTTAACTGTATGAGTGATTTATGCTGTCTGTGTTTTTAGTTTCCTATATGACCTTTCTTACACTTCTACGTACTCTCTCCTTATTTGTTCTTCACTACCTTGTCTTCACAGAATTATTCAGCTCAGACTGCCATGCAAGGGGAAAACTATGAACCCTTAGGTATTATGTTTTACCTTTTAGAAGTAAAGGTTTACTTTTTCAAAAGTCCATTTTACCCCCTTAGAAAGAAATATCAGTGTGCGTTTATTATCTAAGAAGAGACTCTCCCCTGGTTTTTGTTCCATTTATTGAAAATTTCAATTTCTTTGCAGCGGCTTCTAATTTATTTTGCAATTCACACAGCGCACTGTAAACGTAATGTAAAATTTTCAAAGCTTAATTAACAGCTAAGGATAGTGGCAGGCCAAGTTTTTAGAGGCATTTACTTAAGCTCGGCTCCAAGAAAATGAAGAGACTTCCATGCAGGAAGCTGTGAACTTGAACATCTTAAACAATAAAACTGAGGATTCAGAATCGTGGCTTTGCTTTTTGATGCCAGGCCAGCACACCTGTGGGCTTAACCCCTATCGGGCCAAGATGCTTCTCACAGGATCCCTTGCTCTGGAGCTGTTTTTCATTTACAGAGATGAGGTAGCAATAAGACAAAATCCCACAGCACTTCATCAAAGTTTCAGAAAATCCACTTTTAGATTCCATAGGAATGGAGGTGGGGTTCAGCAATCTGGACAGAGTCACAGCAAAATGGAAGAGCAGCCCAAGTCTAATGATGGGAACAATTGGGGTGTGGCGTTCCTCAGACCTATACATGGGGCAGAAGAGGGTAGCATTAGCTGTAGTGTCACGGTTCTGCCATTCCTAGCAGGAGTGCTTGATGTGGTCACTTAGTCTCTCCCAGCCTCAGTTTTCTCATCTGTAGAATTGGACCAGGAATCTCACAGGTAGGGTATTGTGTTTTAGGTGCTGTGCCCATTAGCATGGAGAGCTAGGTCAAGCCTGGCTTAGTCACTACTTCACCAGCCTTGGGCAAGACCATATATCTCTCTGGACCCCAATTTACCCATTTTGTAAATAAAGAGGTTGAATTCTGACCTCACATTTTTCCCAGGGCAGGTGAAGGGGAACTGGGAGATCAGGAGGGCCAATTTTTCCAGGCTTCCTATTCACCAAAGTTCTCAATATAGACTTTTGATTGTCTCACCAAATGGGGACATACCATCACTGTCAAGATGAAAAGGCACTGCTCACCACATGGTATATTGTGTCTCAAACTGCAGTCATCTGCCTGAAATACACAACTATTTACTTATTATAACTCTTTTAATTACTTTGTCAGCTGTACACTTTTATTCCATTGTACTATTTGTGTAAGAAGATTATTTTATTATTTGAGTTACCTGTTTGGCATTCTCTCATTAAAAAAAAACAAAAAACCAAGGCCCTCAAAAAAAAAATTCAAGATCTTACAGTTTGATGAATCTATTTGTAAATCAAAGTGTCGTTTTTATGTCTCTTCATAAGCTGTCCCGCATCCGTCCTAGACAAAATGCTCAGGGACAGCCGGAAGCCACTGGTCTGCCCGTGTCTGCGGGGCTGGGGAACTCGCAGGAAGCGATGCGGCACGGGGCAGTGCGCACGCGAGTCATGGGAGGACGCACCACCGCCCTGCGCGAAAGGGAGGGTACGGTGACACCGGAACTGGACGGGTGGCGATCTGCTTTAGGAGCCAGTGCCTCTAGCCATCTGTTGGTGACCCTCAGGAAAGTCTCTGCCCTTGCAATCCTGAAATCCAGGGGGAAAAGGAAGACTGGGCAAAAGCGGAGAGTCTGGAGCAGGCAGCGTTTCCTGGTCTCCTGGGGAGGAGGTGGAAAGGTTGGTGACGTGACCAGAGCCCGGCTCGGTCTTTTCATTTCACTTCGTGGCTGCGAAGGGCATAACAACAATGATTAAAAAAAAAAAAAAAAAAAAAGCCAAGGGAGGCCAGGCCGCCTGGATCAGTCCTGCGGGGTCCGGATCGCCTGGCCTGCGCAGGGGTGGCGCGCTCTCCCCGGAGCGTAAAAACGCGGTAGCCCGGCACCCCGCTCAGGCCCTCCAGGTTTCGGGGCTCCTTGTCGAGACTCTGCCGGAGGAGCAATGAGAGCAGTGACCCCCAGAGAAGCCCCCTCACCCCCGGTCGGTTTGCAAACTCGAACCTGCGCCAGGGCGCCCTGCGGTTGGGGTGACAGCAAAGGCCAGCGCGGGGCCACCGCCGAGAGCCTGCCCACCACGCCGTGCGCTCGGGCCGGCTGCTTGGGGCCTTGGGGCGGGGAGGAAGGGCCCGTTCCGAAATCCGCCCGACTGGATAACTTTCCAACTATGACTTATTTTTTTTTTTCGTCTCTTTCTAAAGAGCAGCCTAACTTGACAAGATCGGTTCTCCCCGCCACGACAATCGTTGTCTCCAGACCCGGAGTTGAGGGGGAGTAGGGTGGGCGCGGGCGCAGGTCTGCCCTGGGATCCCTGCCACCAGAACACCCGCAGGTGGCTCCAGGAACAGCAGGCCCGCTGGGGGCGCAGCGGGGTCCAAGTGGGAATTCCATTTTTGGCCTCTGGGCGCGGTGTTTTCAGTCTCTCGTGTGTTTAACTGAATTTGCTAGACATTTTCACTCTTCTCACGTTTCCTTTTCGAATCTACCTTTCCGCCTTGTGCGCCTCTAGTCTCCGCCGAATCTCAGGCACCCGGCCGGGAGCAGGCGAGCGTGGGCGGTTGCGGGCGCGGCCGAAGCGCCAAGGGGTCTGGGTGCCGCCGAGATGCGCCGGGCATCTCTGGAGGCTGCAGGAAGCTGGGTCTCCGGCTCAAGATCTGCCAGAGCCGCCGCCTCTGCGGATCTCGGGGCAATCGGTGTCTCCTCTCCCAGTTTGCGCTAGGGTGGGTTTCATTTCAGGGTAAAGCGAACTCAGGCCTCTCTCGTTTGTCTAAATCTGGGGAGGGCGGGTGGGGTTAGGGGAGAGTTCTTGCCCCGGACCTACCTCGCCCTGTTAAACACCACTTGGAAAGAAAAGTCAGTGTCCTGGGTCCCCAGCACACCGCTCCACCATGCTTAGCCATGGCTTTGTTTCTGTTGTCTTTAATATACGTATGTTTCTATACCTGCAACCCCGTGTCAGCACAAAGCCCTCGTCTCCGTATCGAGTCCTGGAGTCCCTGATAGTTTTCTTTGATTTCGGAATTAGCCTTTCCCACTTTCGGGGAGTACCTCCTACTTGCCCACAAGACCAGACATCACAGCCAAGCAGACAGTGGGCCCTTGGGATCCTTACATAAAATATGGTGCAAAGAGCTTTAAGGGACTCTACCCTAGTTCAACCTGGACCATTGCCCCCACTAATCCCTCCATAGAAGCTTCCCCAAACCCCCGGGCCCCCCATGCAGCAGGTAGAAACTCACCTTCTCCCTGGTCAAGAATTCTGGGTTGATATTCTCCCACTGCAGTGTGACTTTTTAGGCAAATTCCTTAAAATTTCTTGTCTCGGTTTCTTTTTCTGTGAAATTGGCTATGGGGTCGTTGTGAGGATGGGAAATGATTACATATTTGTAAGCACTTTGAAAATCTCAAAATCACCTGATTTTCGGTGATATGGATGGGGACAGCTGTTAGGAATGTGGGTGCACAGTAAACGTGGGAAGATGAAGGGATCTCACTGATTAGCCTAAATCAGTGAAAAAGGAAAAGCTGAAACCCACTGGTGCCTGGCAGAGGGGATGTTTGCAGCTAACTCTGTTCTTGGAAGAGTTTTAACTGTTCCGTTCTTTGCAGAAGCTCCTTCTAGAAGGAAGTCCGAGGCCTCAGAGGAAGATTTCCCGAACCCTTGAACAGGTTGAAGATTTACCAAACCCTTGAACCCTTCCCCATACCTCCATTCCCCAAGCTTCCAAGACTAAAGCTGGGAGGCGTGGAGCAGTGGGAGTAACAGGCTCACCTGCCGCTGTTGGCCACCTGAGCCCCCATAAGCAGATTACTGATCCTTTTCTGGTTTCAAAAGCAGGGCTGATGGCACCTGTGTCATGCCTTGGGAGCCCCAGAGACAAGAATCACAGGGAAAGCTTATGGAGCATCATTCTGCTGCCCTGCGAAGCATGGGAACAAAGCCATGGCCATGTGGCTGACCTCACTTTAGGTAGGTACTGTTATTATGGCCAGTGGACACAGGAGAACTGTTACCAAGCACAAGTTCAGCCAAACCAGCCAAAATGTCAGAGTTTGGAGGAGACAAAGGTTTATTGCAGGGCCAGGCAAGGAGATGGGTGGCTTGTGCCCCAAAAACCCCAAGCTCGCTGCAGGGTTTCAGCAAAACGTTTTTAAAGGCCAGGTGACAGAGGGGCATGGTTTGTTGTTGCAAACTTCTTGGTGTCAGAATCCTTTGTTCTTGCAGCTTCCAAGTAGGTCAGGTCAGGATGTTCCTGTAAACCTCCAAGACAAATGCCGTTCTCGGTTCTGCAACTTTTTATCTCTATATGAATGGAAAAGTGTTATACCCTTAAAGGTCAGAGCCTTGAGAATGGGCTATCCTGTATATTTCAGGCTATAGGCAACATTCTTAACTGGAAGGAAAGCAATAGAATACAAAGGTTAAAGTAAAAGAAACAGATTTACTATGGAGTCAGATTTGTTCTTCACTATTGATGGGGCAGAGAGCAGGGATGTAGTGTGCCCCCTGAGGAAGCAGTAGAGCTGGGTTTCTACCCAGGCCATCCAAGCCCAGAGCCCTCACTTGGAACCTCTTGGGCACAGTGCCTGGCACCCAGTCAGTACCCAATCCAGGGAGGCACATCTTGCTGTTTTAAGGAAAATCGGACTTGTCCCACCTTGTCCCAGGCCCAAGCACTTGCCATTTCCCTTTATGAGTTTAATTTTGAAGTTGGTGGGGGAAGCCTAGGCATTCATCCCTGGAAGCACTCTTAGTAGAACTGAAATCTTCCAAGCTTGCCTTGGCTACTTTAAAACTCTGCGGACAGTAATGACTATGGATGGACTGTAGTTTCCTATGAATATGGAGGAGTGGGTGGGGGCATGTAGCGGATGGATTACTATTTAACATTAACTGCTGGTAACCTTTCCTCCTGTCTGACTTCCCTGCAGTGTTATCCTGAGAAGGGTCAGCCCCGGATGCATTTTTGTAAAATACGATTAGTCATTTCTGACCACATGTGCTTGCCCTGGACCTTATTTGCCATCCTATATAATTATTAGAAGGAGCTTCTAATTTTATTTGAAATTCTAAGTTGACACGTGTGTCAATGTGCCATGACCCAGCATTGTGTTTAATTTCTCTTTTGTTAGCCTCATTTGGGCTGCTGAAGAATTACACTCAACGGAATCATCTACCCTGTTCCTTTCCTCATTGCCACGGTTACCCGTTGCAGCTATGAATTACAGCCTTGAGGATTTGCTCCGAAAACGTCCTGTGCTGTGCCGTGTGTGTTCTCCTTCATGGGTACAAGTGAGGGCCTATCTAGGTGGCTTTGCCATAGCTTGAAACTACAGGTCATGGGTGTTCAGAACTCTCCTTTTGCACCTGCTGTTCCTTCTCTTGGCAATGCTTTTCCCTTCTCTTCGTCTGCTTGGTGAACTCCTGTTGATTCTTTTTTATGTATATATATTTTTATTGATTTTTTAATAATTTTTTAATTGAAGTATAGTTGATTTACAATGCTGTGTTAGTTTCAGGTATATGGCAAAGGGATCAGTTATAAATATATATAAAAATATATATATAATATATAAATATGATATATATATATTTCCTTTTCAGATTCTTTTCCCTTATAGGTTATTACAAAATATTAAGTGTAGTTCCCTGAGCTCTACAGTAGGTCCCTGTTGTTTATCTATTTTATATATACTGTTGGTTCTTTGATTCAACTCAAGCCTTCCTCTTTGCAGCCATCTCTGACTTCCAAGGGTTGGCCACGTCCTCCTGTACTCCCTGTGTACCTTTCTCTGTCCAAGCATGTATTGCCCTCTGCTGCTACCATGCTTTTATGTTTCTGTTAAATTCTGGTTGTCAGGTGTGCGTGGTTATAATTGTGGACTCTCAAAGCAGACTTCCTGGGTTCACGTTTTGACTCTCCCCACACTCTCTTGCCACGTGACCTCATGTGTGTCACGGGAGTAATAATATTGCCTGACTCTCGGATTGATAGGATTAAACGAGCTATGTTATTCAAACCACGTTACCTTGCAGCAGGCACTCAGTAAATATTCAGTATTATTAAGGCATTGACTTTCTTTCTTATGGGCTGTGAGCTTCTCAGGGGATGTGAGAGGCACCTTTGTATTTATTCCCATTTTCTGGATACGTAGTGGATGCTGTATTCCCAGTACTTGGCTCATAATATGTGCTCAGTTACTCTTTTCAGAAAAACATGAGAGAGGCAGAGTTTGTTCATGGAGATACCAAATGTCCACTGTCATCATTAACCAATTACTCAGCATTACTGTAGCACTTACTCCGTGCAAGGCATTGTGCTCGGTTCTGCAGTGGATTAAAAACGGGGTATCAACACTTCCATATAGTTAACCATAGAGTCGGGGTGATAAACAAGCACTCTGCCCATCAGATGATGGCACAAGAGAGAAATAACTATATGCTTCTAGGCAGCGATCTGGTCCCCTTTCTAATCCATGCTCACTCTCGCCTGACTTTTCTTATTGCTGGGCAGAATTAAGCATGCCCAAAGGCCAAGGAAGCTGAAGACATTTAAGCCAGAGAGCCACTCACTTGCATGGACTCCTTTCATGTGTTCACAGGGTCATATTTTTTAAGTTCATTTTCTTAAGGAGCCCCCCCTTAAACTACTTTAAGCTTCTGGCCCCATAATGCCTGGATCTGCCCCAATTGTGCCTGGGTGCGGCTTAAATACATTTGATGACTCCCCAGTGCCTTGAACAGTGATCACCTGCTATGAGCCACTCAGTGTATGAGTTTGGAGCACGTATCATCCAGATGCTTAGCCTGGGATGTAACCCCTTCATCCCCTGACCAAATTCCACGTTGGGCCATCTGTCACTGGAGCCAGCTGGGCTGCTTGCTCTTCCTGAGGGCACTGTTTTGTCTCCACACCTTTAACAAGGCTTTTCTCTTTGCCTAGGATGCATTCCCCCCCCAGCACTCCCGCCCACCTCTGCCTGTGAAATAATCATAGCATCCTCCAGCTGCCTCGAAATGCCTCTTCTCCCCGAGTTTTCCCACAGACTCGTGACTCCCGGCTCTGAGTTCCTCAGCACCCTGCTCAGCCTGCTTCGATGGCCTTCCTTGTGTGGGATGCCACTTTGTCGCTGATGGTCAGTTTTCCCTCTGCCAGCAGGATTGTCAGATTCCCATTCATAGCAGTGAACTTTGAGCCTGATATCTGTTTACACAGTCAGTAGCCTCCTTGTTTGGGGAAAGAAGGGAGGGAGGGACGGATGAGGATGCAGTGAGGAGGATACAGGGAGTGAAGAGTTTTCATGTATTTTGTCAAAAGAGTGCTGGAAATAACAGATCTTATAGTGTCAGAAGAGGAAGAGATTATTTGGGCAGAGAAGGGTCCTCAGCTTGACGTTGAAGCCCAAGGAGGTAACTCGAGTTCAAAATGACCAGCGGAATAAGGTTTATGAAAAGACATCAGGGTGTTTTTTGGTTTTGTGCCCACCCTGATTTAAGCTGCGACTGTTAAAAAAAATAAATCAGAGATGGTTGTCGCTCACAAGCAATCTTCGAGCATTTACTTTCTAAGTAAGTACTTCAAGAAACAATGGCTTTTTGTTTTCAAAAATCACATATTGCTAATCTCAAAGAGCATTTTGAAAGGAGTCTTCAGTATCATGTGAAAAATTAAAGTATTACTATAGACCAGAAACTGGAAAGGAAGTCTTTTCTGTTCTCTAGGAGTCACATTATGCTGTAACCATTTGAGAAGGTAGCCTATAAGTTAAATTTTCTTTGAAACTGGCATGTGACATGGCAAAAATCAAATGCATTGTTTTTTGACAAGGTTTGAGGACTGGAATTTAGAAAAGCACTTGGTATGGGAGACGGCTGAATTAATACCGTTGAGATCGTGGTTATAAAGATTGATAAAGAAGGTGCATTCACTAAAAGATATAATGGCAGATGTAATAATGACGGCATTCATCATCCATCAAAGGCATTTATTAAGCACCCACAGGTACTTGGCAGCCTATGGCGTGCCGTGCAAGGAAGACAGACGTGGTCCCTATTCATGCAAGAGCTTGCCATTGTGCTCTTCCTTTGTCAGGAGCATAACGTCCCTACTTGTCACTGCTGCCTGAAAGACACTCCTTGTCATTATTTACGCTGTCTGAGTTTCTGATTTTCAAGGGTGGGGGGCAAGTCTTTTTTGTCGTTTCTTTTAATTATGCCACACACCGTGGTGTTCCATCCTCCAGGGAGACATTGCCGCTGTCAGTGGGTGAGCCTGCAGGTAGGAACCACCCTGATGTTCATTGACAGCATCCGCAGGAAGATGGGTGGCTTGTGGGAGGTCATCGTGCTCCTCCTAATAGAGCCCACAGGGCTTTGCCTGTCTCGCTGTTGTAACCCCTGTACCCGTAGGTTCTGCCCGTCCTGGTCTAGACTGTCAGCAAGCTGAGGGAATGGAGGTCCTTCTGAGCACTCAGCACCCGGCTGGCAGTGCCACCTCACCAGAGATCAGTGGTTTGTTGACTGACTGAGGCAACAAAAGAATTCCACAAAGCAATGGAAGGTCAGTGGCAGATCTTATCAAATGTTTGTTTTACTCAACTCCTGACGTATCTTATCCTGCACACGTGGACACACCGGTACCTGCTAAATTGCCTATTTTTCCCATGTGATGTGCTGTGAGCTCTAGTAGTTAAAAGTTGACTCCAGGCAAATGGAAAATGGAGGGTGGGAGACGTTCTCCAGAAGTAGTTTTCTATGGATGCGTGTTACCAGCTGGCAGTCGGTGGGAGGATGGCCTGTGACCGGGACCTCCAAGTCATAATCAGTGGTAGAAACAAGAAATGTGTCCAGTTCATGATTTTTCAAAATACCATGATTGGGGGAAAAAAGTGCCTATGCTGAGCTTTCATTTCATTTCATGTTATACCCTTGAGTTTTAAAGAAGATTTTGATATAAAAAAATCCAATTACAGAACTTTTTTTTTTTTTTTTGGAAACTGTTGTGGATGACATAGCTCACTGTGTTTTGAAGAGCTGAGTTAAATGCATTCTGAGACATTTTCAAGGTCATGTTTGTTCTTCCAGATTAATTTGTAGGCTTATTGGTGGGGCTACGGGGATTAGTGATACAGCGGGTTTCCTTTATCACCTTGGCCAGCAGGGAGCTCACAATTACATGTTGTCACTGATGAAAGGAGCTTCCTGGCACATTACTTTTTCCTAAAGGCAGAAACTTTATACTCTCTTAATTTTTGTCCTAGTCCATGTGTATATTTTTTCTTGCAAACAGCTTCAAATCCTTTTGAAAGTTAAATATATTTTTATATCTATATACAACTGTTAAATATGTATATTAATATATGGGTCTGTGTGTATGTATACAGGCATTATATACATATACATATACATACATACATATATATATGAATATCTATATACATGTATATATTTATATCTGTATCCATAAACACACACAAATCATTCATAAATCTACTCAACAACATTTATTGAGCATCTGCTAGTTGCTAGGTACCATTTGGTGCATTGAGGAATATGACCACTGACAACGTAGCTTCCTTCTTTAACAAGCTCACCTTTTAAAGGAGCCAGACTATAGTGACAATGACATAATAGGCTAATATGCTTTTGGAACAGGAGGGAGGGAAGGACTCTTGAATTTGCTGTTTCTTCAGTTCTGCCCTTTCCCTCATCTTCAACATCTAATTTGTCACCCACTGTCCTTTTGGCATCCCTTTTCCCGTCCATGACTATCTTCATTAACTTGCATCTCAATTGCTCCAACAGCTTCCCATCTGGCATCTCTTCCTCGATTCTTCGTTTATACTTGTCTGATGATTTTTCCTAAAACTTCACTTTTATCTCTGGGCCTTCCTACTGTGGATCCCCCGCCGTGGTAATAATAGTAGTAGTTGATCAGAGGCAGTGCTTGCTCTGAGCTCCTTGCTCTGCATGTATTATCTCATTTAAACCCTACAAAATCGATGAGGTCACTGCAGTTATTCTTCCCATGTCACGAGGGAGGGGACTGAGGCTCAGAAAGCTGAAAGCACTTGCCTGAGACCTCACAGCTGCTCCAGAGCAGCTCTGGCTTCAGGTCTGTGGTCTCAGTTCTCCTGATGTCTGTTGTCCTGCTGCTGCTGTGCTAGCCTTGTGGGTAGAACCCTGGTGCCTAATATCAACCCTGGCTCTGAGCTCATTCCTGTGCCTCTGCTATTTTCCTCAAAGGAAATGGTATCATCTGTCTGCTCTGTTTAAGGACTCCTTCTACTGGTCCTGGGCAGATCTTCTCAGGGCTGGTGAGTGGGGCATGAGGCTGCCAGCAGGGCTGCATTCCTGGGGCACATCATGTAGCTCCAGGGTGGTGATGACCAATCTTCACCTGGAATTCTGCATTTCCAATCCGGATATATCTGATGGCTCCAGGGGCAGAGGAGTCCTGGAGTAGGTTCATAAGAGCAGATCATGTGAGCTGATCAGTATTCAGTGGTGAAGTGGGGAAGGGAATTCAAGCATTCAACAAGAGACTGGTGCTTCTGCAAGCTGCTGCGTGGCCTGAGAATCCATGGTTCATCCACGAAGGCTTGGCCGGCATTCATGTTCACCCCTCGCCAAATTCTCGCAGCATTCCATGAGAACCAGCGCAGACAGTTGGGTCTTACCGGTTAGGGGCCTTTTGGTTGCAAGCAACAGAAACCATCTCGGGCTGGTCTAAGCACACTGGACACATTCCTTCATTCATTTGGCTTGTAGTTTCCTTAAACAGGGCAGCAGGAGCTTATGCTGTCTTCTTCCTCCAGCTGTGAGTTTCACATCTCCTACCAAGAAAGGGCTCACTGCCTGATGCCCACAGAAGCATCTTTTGAGAAAAGAAAGTGCTTTATTGTGAGGTCAGCTGGCAAAGAGACGGGAGGCAGGGCTCAAATCTGAATCCTCGATCCTGGGTTCTGAGCGAAATTTAAGGGGTCAGGGGAATAAACTGACTGGCTAGTCTCAGAATCCACCCATATATGATAACAGCTGCTGGAAGCCAGCGTTTCCTTATTCAAGTACTTCTCACTTGCTAGAGGGCTCCTGTGGCATCACTTCTATTCTTCGCGTTCCGTAGACTGAAGATTCTTGGTTCCGGGCTCATCCTGGAGACGGGTTCCTGTCTTGCCCATGTGCAGTGCTGTCTCTGTAAACTAACTCAAGGTTTGATTCATCAACAACCCCTTTTAAGGAAGCAAAATCAGTTTCAGCTGTGCTGTTTCACACTGAGCACAAAGATGTCCAGTAAATTCCTGAGCACTGTTGTAGACATTTGGGATCCCAGTGAATACAGTAAGCCCCGCCTTCCTAGAACTTACCTTCTTCAAGGAGGAAAAGACAATAAATGACAAACATAACAAATATGGAATTGAATGTATGTCACAAAATATCAGAGCAGGGTAATGGGGGATCTGGGAGGGACAGACTGGTATTAAGGAGTGGGGTCAGGGCAGGCCTTATTGAGAAGGGAGCAAAGCTATAAAGGGCTATGGGAGGGACAACCAAGTGGTAATCCAGGGGAGAAACATTCTAGAAGGAAAAGCCAATGCATCTGCCCTGAGTTAGAAGTGTACCTGGCGTGTTGGAGGAATAGTATGGAGGCAGGTGTGGCTGGAGCCTGGCATGTAATTTCTTCTTGAGCTTGGGAGGAAAATTCCTCTTTTAGTGAGGACTTCTGCTGCACATTGGCTGCTCTTGTAGTTTTGAGAGGTCAGTCCTCAAGCAAAGGCTTCCTTTTAAGCTTGAACTTTAAACTAGAACTCTTCTATTTTTCGAAGAGGGAAGCCCATCAAGGTTCTGGCCCTGTGTGCTCTGAGGGATGCTTTTTTTTTTTTTTTTTTTTTTTCTGAAAAAGCCTAGCTTGGGGAGCTGCTCCTGTTTGTAGATAAATTTCAAAAAACATCATCTTCCAGATGCTGTGTCTCCACAGCACATTTTGGATGCCTGACATTTAAAATCCTGGAAAAGAAACCTCCAGTGTCTTGTATCTCTTTGGAAATGATGAATTTCAAATGAACTCAAGTTAATGTAGTGCTTGTGAAGGGCGCCAGACAAACCGTGTTCAAAACTGTAGACTCTCGACAAAACAGGTCCATGAGGACCCCTTTCAGCAGATGGCTGTGCCCTCCCAGCCTCGCAGCAGACCCAGACGTCGGCTCTTAGCCTGAGAAGGTAATTTCTGTTTACTTCCCCTTCACTGTCGCACCTGTGGGTTACCGTGCTATTTCCAGCAAATTATCTTACTTCATGCGCCTTAGTAATTGGATAACTAATCAAATTTCTGTTTTAATTGGAAAGTTTGGTATCAGGCTGATGCAGCCCGGGACACTTAGAGGGTGTGATCTGGACTTGTAACTCATGGGTAACTACTTCTTTGGTCACATAAACATGGCCCCTTGAATAAATGTTAGCTGTAGACACTGTCTCTTGATGGTGATATTGATCAAAAGTGAGCTCCACTGTTGACATTTGAGGCTGGATTCTTCTTTGCTGGGGGAGGGGGGCGCTGTCTGTGAATTACAGGATGTTTAGTCACATCCCTGGCCTCTACCCACTAGATGTTGGTAGCATCGTCTCCATTTTGTGACAACCAAAACGTCTCCAGGTGTTACCAGAAGTCCAGCGACAGCATGGCTATGGACCATCAGATGCCAATATCTGGGTGACAGTGATCAGACCCTGTATTTACAAAGTGGTTTCACAACCACCCTGCAAGTTGAATAGGATCACGCCTTATACCAATAAAGACAGCAACATTCACCTCTTCGTTTCTTCTTATGGATCTTCTTTTTTTCTTATTATAGAAGTAATACATGTTCATCTTAGAAAACTTGTGAGCAAAACAAAACTATAAGATTGAACTACAATTCATCTGTGTTCTCACCAGCCATCAATAAACTTCTGTTAATTTATCTACTCTTTTTCATGCATACATCCATGTATCAATAGATATAATTTTGTTGCAAAAATAAGATCATGCTTTTTGTCCTGTGTCCTAATCTATTTCCTTCTCTGTGCGAAACATAAATACATTTTCTGAGAAATATTCTCATCTGTGACTCTATTAAATGTTCTCACCTGTGATTCTAATAGCTGCATGGTATTGCAATGTGGAGGTGGACTGTAATTTACTCGTGGGTCCCCTGCTATGGGCATTTAGGTTGTTTACAGTTTTTCTCTATAAACACTGCTTTGGTGATTTCTTTTTCACATTTAGAACACTGAAACAGACTGGGTAATGGAACGCTGGATTTTGCTCAAGGGTGAGGGGATGAGTAGGAGGAAGGGGTTGAGAACGACATCAGGTGTGTGAGCTTTAGTTACTGTGGAAGAGGATGGTGGTTCCATCTACTGAGATGGGATGGAGAAAAGATGATGGGTTTTGTGGTGAGTCTGCCCACACTGACAGTGAGCTGCCAGACAACTGGAGATGTCTGATAGCCAAGCAGAAACGAGGATGCAGGTTTGAGAGAGCCGTCTGGAGTGATCTTCCTAGAAGTGAGATCGAATCCTTTGGCACGGTGCTGTCCACCAGAAGCCTACTGCAAACCACATGTGTAATTTTTAGATTTCTCATGGCTGCAGTAAAAAAAATAAGTTAAAAGAAACAGGTGAAATTATTTTACTAATACATTTTATTTAACCCAGTATATCCAGACTGGTATTTCAAAGTGTGCACACTAGCCACATTTCAGGTGCTCAGTCGCCGTAGGTAGCTTGTGGCTGCCATATTGGACAGGGCAGCTCTGAGGATGATACCACAGAACTGTTCACTTTGTCTTCCAGGGGACATCTGGTAACAACTGGAGACATTTTGGATTGGCACAGCTGGAGGAAGTGCTATTGGCATCTAGTGGGTAAAGACCGGGGATGGGACCAAACATCCTCCAATGCATAGGAAAGCCCTTCAAGCAAAGAATTATCCAGCCCAGATTGTCTCTAGTGCTGAGGTTGAAAAACAGTTGTCTACAGTCAACATTTGTTCAAGGGACCATGGTGTTCCCAAGTGTCAGGCCTGTGTGCAGAGCTCTACAAGGATTGTCTCACGGAATCCTCAGAGCAGCCCTATGAACTAAGTTTTATTACAGTTTCCATGTTACTGATGAATTAACCGAGGTCTAGACAAGTTAGGTGCATTTGTCCAAGGTCATGGACCTTGGGTTCAAACTCAGGCCATCTGACCCAAGAATAGAGAGAGAGAGTGGCTATATGGAAGTGAGCTTTAGCATTACCTTGAATAAGCAGAGTTATCCAAAACATCTGCTTAAGTTCAATATCTCACATTTCAGTTGGTGAATAAGCATGGCAATACTGTACTTCTATCCTCTCTTTGAATTTTTTGAAATTAGGCTTGTCCACTTGGTCACATCAGTGTGGTCAAATGGAAGACCATCTCATCTCAAATGCCCCTGATCGGCTCTGAAGTCTTGAGGGAGTTAGTTAAGCACTCTGAATTCCAAGCACTTTCATCTATAAAATGGGCACAGGTACGCTTACCTTGCAGGACTAACGTAGGGCCTGAATGTACTAACATGTTTGAAAGCGTTTCACACCTGTTCACTAGCTGCTTAATAAATCGAAGCCAGAATTGTATCACCACATCCTTGGTTTAAACTCTCTGCCACCCATCAAGGAGAGGGTCTGATGCCTGATTTGGAAGGACCAGAAGAATGTGCATCCCTCGTCCTCTTGAAGCTTCCAGATATGGGCACAAGATGCTGGTCAACAGAATTATGTTTCTTGAAAATGCAAAAAGAGTCATCGCCAGAACTCTTCTCTGTGTCTGGTGCCTTGAAACACTTAGGAGCTGTATGATTTCTGAGGCAGAATAAAGCTGAAGAGAGGTGGCATCCAAAATAGCACTTTCAAAAAAATTCTGAGCAAGGGCATTTGCAGTATGGAAGTGGAATGTTAATTGAAATCTGACTCTGCCAACAGGAGCTTTGGAGAGAGCCCAATCAAGATTAGACTAATTAAGACATCTTTAAAATGGAACAGGTTGGACTGTCTTAAAGAAGAATTGAACCAAATGAAAACTATATGCTAAGGAATATGACTCTGGAGGGTTGAAAAAACAAAACAAACAAACATGCAAATAATTATCGTCAACTCAGAGGAAGGAAGGAGAGATGCTAGCTCTGTGGACCTCGGTGAGTCAGCCCTACCGTACCGGAAACAAAATTTTCTAACATGTCGCTGACATTGGCAGGTTGGTTGTTGGGCAGACATGTCATTCAAACCGCCCTGGAAATAAACTGTTTTCTTTTACAGGCTATCCTGGATGTTTTTTAGGGAACACTTCCTCTACACTTGCAGCATGACATAAAAGACCCCAAAGACCAAAATATTCCAACAGAGCTCATTTTTAATGTACAGCATTGTGTGATTTTAAAAAAACTGTTTTAATGCTTCTTATCTCTTGGCTTCCCTTCCTTTGTTTCCTCCCGAGCCAATCAAAAAGTCTTTATTTTAATGTGTTGCAAAATAAAGTAGCAGTTCTACAAAAAGCACAGATAAGACACCTAATTTTTAAGGTTGTGCTAAGTACTGAACTAACCTGACAGCCTATATTTAGTATAATGATTTATTTGCTCTTCCAAAAAGCTAACAATTTACCATAAAATTTTGGATACAAAAGGTGAGATTCTACCAACTACACAATATAATCAATAGCGTGACTCAGTACCTCGGAAGATTCCAGTCCTCCCAAAATATATTTTGACAAGACTTAAAACAGTTAAAACATAATTGTCTTTGCTCATTATTGGAAACAGTACTTTGTGTGCCGATGGCATCACAATAAATATTTCTGTGATTAGGAAACTTGTTATAGTCCAACAGCAAGTTTGCTCAAGCCTTAAATTATTTTTCATAATCTGTAAATAATGTTGACATTACTTTGGCATTATAATAAATATTAAGGCTATTTGGAAGTGAATCTGCTAGTTTAGATGCCTGCCTACCAAAACAAACTTATTTATATTATTGGCACATAGAATCAGGAAATATCACACACACAGTCTTCTGCATTTGGCTGGCATATTTTATGTGATCATTACATTTGTTTGGAGGGTTCAAGAGTCATATAATTAATACACTAATAAACTATTTTGTAGAGCTGTTTTTCAGAAGCACACTACCAAATGCCTTTTAAATAACACAATAACTGAAGGCTTGTTCGCAAGAAATAGCAATTGATAATAAAACAGTTAACTGAATGGTTTAACCTTTTTTATTAACAACGAGTAATGCAACTTTAGAAGATGGGGAGGAATAAACAAGGGAGAAAATTGAAGTTTTTGGAGTAATTTGTGCAAGCAAATGGATTGTGATTTGTGGGAAAGATATGGAAAATGAAATCTAGATGCTGGTGGTTACAGACAGGATTTTTATACCAGCAGCCATGCTATTTTTATGCAGTAAACAAGAAGAGGAAGGAAAGAGGTCATAGTGAAACGAATAAGAAAGTTCCCTTAGAAAGTGGTTTTTAATGTTAAAAGACTTCCCCTTTTTCTGTTGCACCATTTTTCCTTAAACTGATAACGTTATCCACCCTTCTTTGGGAAAAACCATGTGAGTGATGACAGTCATGTGCCATATATGTTGGCAAAGAGGGTCAATTTCTGGCTCTGCTACCCAGCTGGGTCTTCAACTTCTGGGCCTCCATCTCTTTTCTATAAAAAATGGGCAGCAGGACCAGATGGCTTCACAGGTGAATTCTATCAAATATTTAGAGAAGAGCTAACACCCATCCTTCTCAAACTCTTCCAAAATATAGCAGAGGGAGGAAAACTCCCAAACTCATTCTATGAGGCTACCATCACCCTGATACCAAAACCAGACAAAGATGTCCCAAAGAAAGAAAACTACAGACCAGCATCACTGATAAGCATAGATGCAAAAATCTTCAACAAAATACTAGCAAACAGAATCTGACAGCACATTGAAAGGACCATACACCATAAGCAAGTGGGATTTATCCCAGGGATGCAAGGATTCTTCAATATACGCAAATCAATCAATGTGATACACCATATTAACAAATACACCATATTAACAAATGATCATCTCAATAGATGGAGAAAAAGCTTTTGACAAAATTCAACACCTATTTCTGATAAAAACCCTCCAGAAAGTAGGCATAGAGGGAACTTACCTCAACAAAATAAAGGCACATATGACAAACCCACAGCCAACATCATTCTCAATGATGAAAAACTGAAACCATTTCCTCTAAGATCAGTAATAAGACAAGGTTATCCACTCTCACCACTATTATACAACATAGTTTGGGAAGTTTTAGCCACAGCAATCAGAGAAGAGAAAGAAATAAAAGGAACCCAAATCGGAAAAGAAGAAGTAAAGCTGTCACTGTTTGCAGATCACATGATACTATACATAGAGAATCCTAAAGATGCTACCAGAAAACTACTAGAGCTAGTCAATGAATTTAGTAAAGTAGCAGGATACAAGATTAATGCACAGAAATCTCTTGCATTCCTACACGCTAATGATGAAAAATCTGAAAGAGAAATTAAGGAAACACTCCCATTTACCCCTGCAACAGAAAGAATAAAATACCTAGGAATAAACCTACCTAAGGAGACAAAAGACCTGTATGCAGAAAACTATAAGACACTGATGAAAGAAATTAAAGATGATACAAACAGATGGAGAGATATACCATGTTGTTGGACTGGAAGAATCAACATTGTGAAAATGACTCTACTACCCAAAGCAATCTACAGATTCAATGCAATCCCTATCAAACTACCAATGGCATTTTTCACAGAACTAGAACAAAAAATTTCACAATTTGTATGGAAACACAAAGGACCCCGAATAGCCAAAGCAATCTTGAGAAAGAAAAATGGAGCTGGAGGAATCAGGCTCCCAGACTTCAGACAATATTACAAAGCTACAGTAATTAAGACAGTATGGTACTGGCACAAAAACAGAAATATAGATCAATAGAACATGATAGGAAGCCCAGAGATAAACCCACTCACATATGGTCACCTTATTTTTGATAACGGAGGCAAGAATGTACAATGGAGGAAAGGCAGCCTCTTCAATAAGAGTTGCTGGGAAAACTGGACAGCTACATGTAAAAGAATGAAATTAGAGCACTCCCTAACACCATACACAAAAATAAACTCAAAATGGATTAAAGACCTAAAAGTAAGGCCAGACACTATAAAACTCTTAGAGGAAAACATAGGCAGAACACTCTATGACATAAATCACAGCAAGATCCTTTTTGACCCACCTCCTAGAGAAATGGAAATAAAAACAAAAATAAACAAATGGGACCTAATGAAACTTAAAAGCTTCTGCACAGCAAAGGAAACCATAAACAAGAGGAAAAGACAACCCTCAGAATGGGAGAAAATATTTGCAAATGAAGCAACTGAGAAAGGATTAACCTCCAAAATTTATAAGCAGCTCATGCAGCTCAATATAAAAAATACAAAAAACCCCATCCAAAAATGGGCAGAAGACCTAAACAGACATTTCTCCAAAGAAGATATACAGATTGCCAACAAACACATGAAAGGATGCTCAACATCATTAATCATTAGAGAAATGCAAATCAAAACTACAATGAGGTATCACCTCATACCAATCAGAATGGCCATCATTGAAAAATCTACAAACAATAAATGCTGGAGAGGGTGTGGAGAAAAGGGAACCCTCTTGCACTGTTGGTGGGAATGTAAATGGATACACTATGGAGAACAGTATGGAGGTTCCTTAAAAAACTAAAACTAGAGCTACCATAGGACCCAGCAATCCCACTACTGGGCATATACCCTGAGAGAACCATAATTCAAAAAGAGACATGTACTACAATGTTCATTGCAGCACTATTTACAATAGCCAGGACATGGAAGCAACCTAAGTGCCCATCAACAGATGAATGGATAAAGAATTTGTGGCACATATATACAATGGAATATTACTCAGCCATAAAAAGAACAAAATTGTGTTATTTGTAGTGAGGTGGATGGACCTAGAGTCTGTCATACAGTGAAGTAAGTCAGAAAGAGAAAAATAAATACCGTATGCTAACACATATATATGGAATCTAAAAAAAAAAAAAGGTTCTGAGGAACCTAGGGACAGGACAGGAATAAAGACACAGATGTAGAGAATGGACTTGAGGATACGGGGAATGGGAAGGGTAAGCTGGGACGAAGTGAGAGAGTGGCATGGACATATATACACTACCAAACGTAAAATAGATAGCTAGTGGGAAGCAGCCGCATAGCACAGGGAGATCAGCTCGGTGGTTTGTGACCACCTAGAGGGGTGGGATAGGGAGGGTGGGAGGGAGATGCAAGAGGGAGGAGATATGGGGATATATGTATATGTATAGCTGATTCACTTTGTTATAAAGTGGAAACTAACACACCATTGGAAAGCAATTATACTCCAAGAAAGATGTTTAAAAAAAAAGTGGGCAGGTTTCTTAGGTCTAAAATTGAGGATCATCATTTCATTTGTTTTGTCTTATCCCTCCAATAAACTGACTACAAGTCTGTGTGCTCACTCAACTAGTCAAATCAACTGAGAAGAAGGAGCAATACAAGGCCTTTAAAAAAATTAAAGTATAGCTGTGCCCTCTGGGCTACCATATATATATGTATACACACACATATATATACACAAACATACACAAACAAAAATACAAACACATAATACACATATGCACACACATACACATAAATACATATACACACATAAATATATACACATATACATATACACACATGAAAGCCCACGTACACACGAAACACCATACATACACACACACATGCACACACATACAACATACATAAACGGACACACATACATATACATATACACACAAACACTCACATATATACACACAAACACATACACATATACAAACACACACACACATACTTACATATACACACCCATACACACGCATACATATACATATACCCACATACATACATATGCACACATATACACATACATACACACCTACATATATGCGCAACACACATGCATACACACATGCACACGCATACACATATACACATAATACATATACGCACATACATATACACACACAAATACAGACATACACATACAGACATACACAATATCCATGCACACATATTCATATACACAAACATGCACAAACACATTCATACGTACGCACATACATACACATACACACATAAACACCCCAAACACATACATACAAATACATATGCATACATACATACACACCTATACACATATGCACACCCCACACATACATATATGCAAAAATTCATATACATACACACATACACATACATATAACCACATACATACACACACATACACATATACACACAAACATATGCACACACATACATGCACACGCACACACATCCGCACGTACACATGTACACACATACATACGTACATACACATACATGCACGCACACATACAGAGACATACATATATACACACATACACATGTACGTACATATGCGCACATATACACACATACATATATGCACACACATACAGACATACATATACACATACATACGTGCATACACACCCACACATATATACGTATATATATGTATTTTTATATATTTGATATGGGTCGATCTGAAGTTCTCTGGCCAATTAGTTCACTTTTAATTCTTGATCTTCACAGTTGGAAGTGACCTTGTGATCCAACTGAGTAATGTGGGTCTTGCTTCTGTTTGTCTATATGTTTGAGTCACTCATGATGGGTGGAGGGAAGAGTCAACAGACCCCTTGATGTGCAGTGAATGCTTTCTATTCACCCCACACACCCCGCCTCTCCTGGAGAGTCTTGCAGACCCCTGAGCTCTGGGTTCCCCATCAGGCTGGGATTGGGCTTGTGGATAGTTCTTGAGTAGAGGGGAAAAAAGGGAGCACGGAACAGAGGGGTCATTAGAGAAATAAAGGGCTGAAGTTAGGGGAAACAGTGCTGGGAAGTGAGGAAGGAATTAGGAGAAAGAAGACGGCAGGAACCAGAAAGGGTGCTGCCTTGGGACGCGCTCAGATGGAAGAGTCCACGGACCCTTGGGATTCTGGAAAAAATGGGGAGGTTTCGGGAGTCTGGCTTAGCTCTTTGCCTTTGACTACAAGATAATTCTTTATGCTTATATTTTTAAATAATATATATTTTTTCTTATTGGAAACTAGAAAAAAATTACTGCAGAATATAAAAAATACAGTAAGTATAAGAAAAAATGTCTGTAAACTCACCACCTAGTGATAATTATTAACATTCAGATATGTTTCTTCTAAGCAGTTTCTTTTGCTATGTTCATATATAATATTATTTTTATAGGTTTTTCTTTGGCTTTGTGTCCTGGTCTGTTCATTTTGTATTAAATCATGAGTTCCCCTTCTTGGTCCCTATTCACTAAAATATAATTTTAATGATGGTTTGAGATCCCTGGGTTGGTTGTGTAGTAATTTAATAAACCATCTCCAAATATTTAGATGGCTTCCCATTTTTCATGATTGTATAAATGCTGAGTGAAACGTCTTATTTGATGTATGAATTGTTCATCACATCGATGATTGTTCTTTTGGAGTAGATCCCTAGAAATGGAACTCCTGCATTGAGAGGTATGAACAGTTTAAAACTCTCGGCGCTATTTTCAGAGGGTTTTGAACCTCAGTTTCCCCCTCTGCCCTTCCAACAAGGTTGATTTGAGAATGAACATCACATCATGTGTGAGTTCTGGGTAACGGGCACACCCTGCCGTAGGCAGCTTCCGAAGCAATGTTGCTTATTACTGTTTCTATGTGCCTCGAATAAGGTCCTCTTACTAGTGAAAATCTGGAAAACTTTTCTGCCCCCTTTCTCAAGAAGATCTATGCTATCCTGGAAACCATGGCACAAGACGCAGTTTAAAAAGAATTTTCATCTGCTTTGGGAAGTAAAATCTAAACACGTATTTCAGAAACTGCTGTAAATTTCACTAAAGCTACAATGTTTTCCTTAGAAGTTGAGGACATATGGTTAGTCTTCCAGTGTTACTAGTAACAAAGTCTTGAAAATATTAACTACTTCATTCTTCAGAGGAGAGTGTAAAATTATCCTTTATTTTCTTTTTTGCCTCCCACACTTTGGTTTTAACAAAACACGAGACATTCCTATTATAAGTAATTACAGCCCTTCTGTTCCAGTCCTTCAGCGCCATAAAATTAGCTATTGTACTAAATAATTAGCACATGCCATTCAGAATATCCTAAAAATTATATGCAACACCAAGCAGGCACTCTACACTGACACTTGGCCACGTTCTCTCAGAAACCACTCAATGAAAATTAGGTATTGGCAACAGGTGCCTTGAAAACAACTTATTAATTGTAAAAAAAATATTAAGCATTTGAATGACGGCATGTAAAAGCATTTTCAAGTTTGGAATTGTCTGAACTCTGACTTCTTAAATATAGTCTTGACTGCTCGCACACTAATTGCACCCTTGAGGAGCATCCCACCAGCTAATTTAAAGCTCACACACAACCAGCAGAGTCTCCCCTGGGCCTAGGAGACAGCCAAATGAGGATCTGGACCCCTGAAAAGTTGCTGACCCTATGCAGAGAGGCTGCCCAGGGTCAGCTTTGCTCTTTCAATCACTGAAGATTATATTTACGTTAATTTTTTAATGCTCACTAAAATAAAACATGGTTGTTTTGAAAGGTGTTGTGGCTCTGCAGTTGATGAGGACCTTAATGATTTTACAAATTTGAGATGTTGTGTCAAACTTGTTTTATTTCATAAAGTAATGATTTCCAGGTCCTCTAACTGGGGGAGCATGGCTATTGAGACCTTGTGTTTTGAATATCACATATTGAATATCACATCATAATTTTGACTATTTGGAATAACTGAGCTCAAATTAGGGAAGACTCTGACTTGTGCAATTTTTTTTCTTTTCTTTTTTTGGCCGTGCTGCGTGGCTTGGGGGATCTTAGTTCCCTGACCAGGGATTGAACCTGGGCCCTTGGCAGTGAGACTGCAGAGTCCTAAACACTGGATCACCAGGGAATTCCCAGTGAATTATTTTTTAAAAGGCAGATTAGTTTTATTTTAGTGTACAGACAGACAAGGATACTCAACTGACATTCAGGCTTAGTACAGGTTTGATAAGAATTAGATAGTGATATGTTTAAAATAGGCATAAGGGCACAGAAGAAGGATAGTATTAACTACCCTCCCCCACTCCACCAAAAATGAGCTGATATGCTGTGTTATATCAGACAAAATAGACTCACTGGAGTTAAAAGTTGGTCATTTCATGTGAAAAAGCAAATCTCAAGAATGATGTAATAATTTTAGATATAATAGTTCTAGGTATAAAATATAATATGTATCTAGGACTTAAAATATAAAGAAAATCTTTATAGCACTACAAGGAGAAATTGACACATCCATAGAGCCCTACCCCCTGCCCTTGAGTTATTGATTGAAGAGGCAAATAGAGGATGTGAACAACTGGCAAGTGGGATCCAGCAGATGTATTTAGAATATGGTATCACTTTGTACCCAAGTTGAAGAATACACATTGTTTTGAAGCATACATGAATAGTTTTGAAATTTGTCACATGTATACCGATTCTCAAATGTGGCTTTGTGTTGGAATCACCTGGGGTGTTTTAAAAGCCAGTAATGTCCAGCATTGTGATGTAGTCGGAATGGAGTATGCCCTGGGAACTGGGACTTGTAAAATCTACCAAGGTGGTTCTAATATGCAGTCCAGATTGTGAACTACTGCTCTAGCCTAAAGTAGCCCCAACTGATTTCAGTGCATTGTATATGATAGGCCACCATCTCTGACCAGATTGTAATTAACTGAAAAATCAGTATAAAAAATATAACTAGAAAAAGTCATATATTTGAACTTTAAAAGTTATACTTCTGAACAATATATGGGACAAAAATAAATAAAAAGAAAATGTCCTTCAACAGAAGAATGGATGAAGAAGAGGTGGTACATATATACAATGGAATATTACTCAGCCGTAAAAAGGAGCAATATTGTGCCATTTGTAGAGACGTGGATGGACCTAGAGACTATCATACAGAGTGAAGTGAGTCAGAAAGAGAAAAACAAATATTGTATAATATTGCTTTTATGTGAAATCTAGAAAAATGATACAGATGAACTTATTTGCAAAGCAGAAATGAGACATGGACATAGAGAACGGATGTATGGATACCAGGGGTGGAAGCTGTGGGGAGTGGGATGAATTGGAGAATGGGATTGACATACATACACAACTATGTGTAAAATAGATAACTAATGAGAACAGACTGTATAGCTCAGGGAACTCTACTCAATGCTCTGTGGTGACCTAAATGGGAAGGAAATCCAAAAAAAGGGGATATATGTATACGTATAGCTGATTCACTTTGCTGTACAGCAGAAACTAACACAAATTGTAAAGCAACTGTACTCCAATAAAAATTAATTAAAAATATTAAAATAAAAAATAAAATAATAAACTATTTAGAGCTGTTTGATGACAAATGCCTATAAATCATGGTGTGTGGAGTGAAGCTACAGCAGCAAAACGAGAGAAATCTACTTAGATTAGAAAAGTAAGAGACTAAAAATTAATGAGAAATTTAATTTAAGAACAGAGATAAAGAATAGCATTTAAGCCCAAGGAAACCAGCAGGTAGAAGAAAGTGGGAGTTTCAGAAATTAATGGAATAGAAAATAAACATACAATAAGAGAGGACAAACAAAGCCAACAGTTGATAGTCTGAGAAGATTAATAAAATAGACAAAACTCTTTCAAAGTTAATTAAGAAAAATTGAGAAAAAAGCACAAATAAATGATTTGAGAAATAAAAAGATGATGCAGAGATTAAATTGATGATATTATGAATGAGACATGTATGCCAATAAATCTGAAGTCATCAATTAAATGAATAAAATACCAGGAAAAAATATAACTTATCATAACTGATTCAAGATGAAGTAGTTGTATTAACCATTAAGGAAATTGAATCAGTGGTTTAAAATCTTTTCACAAAGAAAGCAATAGAACCAGACTATTTGAAAGGGAAGTTCTATCAAATATTTAAGGAACCAATAATTTTATTTTATACAAATTCTTACAGAGAACGAAAAGGAAGGAACAATCCTCAACTCACATTGTGAAACAGTCCTCACCTCGATGGCAAAACCAGATCAAGAACAACAAAAAAGTAAAAAAAACCCCAAAGAATTACAGTTCAGTCTCACTCATGAACATGGATGCAAAAATGCTTAACA